TCTGTGTGGATACATATGTGCGTGTATGAGTGCGTGCGTGCATGCGTGCACGCGCGCGTGCGGGTACGTGTCATTGTGTATATGCGCGTGTGCGTGTGCGTTCACGTGCATTTATTTAACCAGGGATGAATAATGACAAATTAGTCATTATTCACCTCCTGATATAACGAATGCTTCGGATGACTTCGTCAACAGCTTTTAATTAATACGCAGCCGAACGCAAGCGTGCGCTTAACATACGGTCTAGAGCAGCGCTCTGATTAGGTTGTATTTAGCGCCGCACATGTCCATATATATATATAATGAGAAACGTTGGTGTTGTTCGTCCCTATAATGCAGAGTTCGCTGTCACTCGGTATACGTTATAGCGCCCTTGGCGTACAGTCGGGCACGTCTAGCGATCGCATGCGGGTAACTGCGCCCTCGCGTGACATACTCACATGGGAACTGAACCGCAGTGTCGGCAGTACCGCTATTGGCAACGAGACTAACACAAATGAAATGATACTCTACATTTCCATGATAAATATTTGATGGGCATGGCGGCTATAGTGGAGCGCAGAATGGCGCGCTGTTACTGTTTGTCGTCGATCATGCCATCGACCTGTCATTGCGTTGACAATTTGCTGAACGAATATTAATACAGGCCGACATTCTGTGCCCGATAAACGTAGGAAATATTAGCTGTACAGCGAGAGGTGCTGTGCAGGAACCTAATTTTGTCTACTCGTTTTAACCAAATATGAATATAAAGATAAATAAATAAAACAAATAAATAGATAGATAAATAATTATATATATATATATATATATATATATATATATGTACATAGCATCTCAGAAATCCTGTAGGTTTTCCAGAGAATATCTTCGATAATGTATTGCGTATTGCAGAAGTGATTCTTAAATTTGATTGTTACTACGGCAGAGCCAACACGCGGGACGTCTGGCACTTCGGCCTCGGGCTCAGTTTTCCATGACTCCAGAGGTAACGTGGTGACGTCGTCGACGACAATATAACATCGCGTAAATTCAGAAGGTAGACTTCGCGCGGCGCTTATGTTGTGATCTATGGGCGCTGCTACATTGAAATTGTCGCACGATAACCGAGACACACGATATCGTAAATCGACCGATGGCTCAACCAATACTAACTCAACATAAGTAGGTGCGCCCGAAACACATCCGTCTGCGTCTAGACTACGACTTTAAACCGCGAGACGATGCGTTTATAATCACGAGTGTGCACTCGGCTTCAAGAGAGTATCAAAATCATGCCCACTTTATGCCCACCGGTAACTCACACGGTAGAGCATCATCAGAAACAGCAAGAACAAACCATCAATCTCGACAGCATTAGCAATCCCACCAAAAATATGCTGTAAGCATCATTACTCTCATTACTGCTCACGGTTTAAAATAATTTAAAAATCTGCTCACGTCAAAAGGAATCTTGACCATTGACCAAGCGGTCAAACGGATGAACCGCCTGCAGTGCATCCACTATCTACCCTCAAATCATTACACTAACACGCACATTATGTGACTATTATAACCACAAACCATGTTTTATCCGCACGCGTGGAAATGTGCACGTGCGCGCGTGTATGTATGTATGTATGTATGTATGTGTGTGTGTGTGTGTGTG